TATTGTGTGATGTTTTTGTGGAAAAACTGAAATGACTGTACATCACAAAAGAGCCCACAAACCAAACTTTTTGCAATATCCAAAGAAGCTATAAAACTGTGGGCTTAAAGAATGTTGGAACATTATAATTAAGTTTCAAAATTTAGATGAAAAGTTGTTGATTCTTTGTTTTTAATTTCTAGAATTGTGAAATGTTTTGTTTAAAATTAATTTAACTAGTTGTTTCTTTTATAAAAATTTACATTATTAGCATGAGGAAGTTTGCTCAATTCAAAAATGTTCATTTCACCAAGACTTTTGTCCACCACTGTATATACGTACCTAACAAAGCTTCGAAAAATTGTTTATACGCTTTCAAACTCATTTTTCCGTGAATCCCATCTATATTAATCGATGTTATTAGGTCTATAGGTAATACACTATCCAATGTTTTTGTGAGCTTTCCCCTCAATAGTGATTTCATTGCTTTCACCTGTTAAAGGTATTAAAGAATTTGAAGGATTGAAACAATCAGAAATTGAATTTTTCTTACATATATGGATTTGTTTGGTCTGCATTAATAGTATCAATGTCCTCCACGGATTTCAGAGGGAATTTTTCAGTGAGTTTATCTGCGATGGCTTCTTGATGCAAAAGATCTTTTAATAAAACATTATGAGCCGCCAGTACTTCCATAATCGCCTTGTTTTGGTTTTTAACTATTTCTAAACAAATTAAATTAGATTAGAATAAAAACTATATTGTATTGAGCCCAACTGAAGCCTCACTTTTTTGGAAGAATATACTCGGAGAACTGTGCACTGTTTCTTACCTTTTAGTTCCTGAATTTCGCCATGCAGATGTCTGTTACCGTCGCACCTTTCACACGTAGTTATTTCTGAAAAAAATATACAAATAAAATTTATAAATTGAAATCTCATATAGAAAAGTATGCAGTTGAATTTCACTTACTTTTTAACGGGAGATTTTCACCCAGCCGCATCGCTTTTCCTCCTCTCTTGTACATCTTTAAGTTGTGTGTAGCAATGGTACTAAAAGTATTTGGTTGTCGTAGGGAAGGCACATGTATTTATAATTTATTTGGTTTATATTGAATTTATGTATTGGCTCGGAAGTGTCATACTCAGCAATACAAATTCCTAAAGCTGCTAAAGAATCTACGGGTGCTGTGAAAAAGCTTTTAAGATTTTTTAATTTTTTCCCCAGGATTGTGACGTTTCGTCCTTTTTCAAACCCTACAATCTTTACTGACATATTTTCTTTGAGACAACAAAAGCTATCCGGACCTCTTATACTCAAATAAAACTCAAAATCGATACTTATAACTTTTCCTTTAACTTCTTTAACTTTGGGTAGCTTTTCTTTTTATACCTTTCATGAGCATGAAATGGTATTATAACTTTGGTCCGATGTTTGTAAGTACCAGAACAAAAAGAGATAGACCCATGAAAATGTATACTTATATGATCAGAACGTCGAGCTGAGTTGATTTAGCCATGTCCGTCTGTCCGTCTGTCTGTCTGTTTGTATGCAATCTAGTCTCTCAGTTTTCGAGATATCCGGATCAAATTTGGTAGGAGGGTGTATTTTTATAATGTATTAATCATTTGTCGGAACCGGAAGAATCGGACCACTATAACATATAGCTCCCATACAACTGATTGTTCAGATATGAGATTTTTCATTATAACTTCTCCATTTATGCAGCTACGAACATGAAATTTTGCAATACTTGCACCCATTATCAACAGAATACTTACAGTGAAAATTACAAAGATCGGGTCAGTATAACCTATAGCTCCCATACAACTGATTGTTCAGATATAAAATTTTGCGTTATAACTCCTCCATTTATATAGCTAGGAACATGAAATTCCGCACTGTTTTTAATAATTATCAACAGAAAACTTACAGTGAAAATTAAAAAGATCGGGTAACTATAACCTATAGCTCCCATACAACTGATTGTTCAGATATGAGATTTTTCGTTATAATTCATCCATTTATGTAGCTAGGACCATGAAATTTCGCGCTGTTTCCACTCATTATCAACAGAAGACTTACAGCGAAACTAACAAAGATCGGGTCACTATAACCTGCAGCCCCCATACAACTGATTGTTCAGATATGAGGTCTTTTATCATAACTCCTCCATTTATGCAGCTAGGAACATGAAATTTCGCACCATTTTCACTCATTATTAACAGAATACTTACAGTGAAAATAACAAGGATCGGATGACTACAACATATATCTTCCATTCATCTGATTGTTCAGATATGGGATTTTACTGTAAAACTCATTTATTTGAACAGCTAAAACCGATAAATTTCGTAAGATATTTTATAAATAATAATACAAAGTCTACTGAGAAAATCGTCAAAATCTATGCTGTATAAGCTTTATCTCCTATAGCACTGATTGTTAAGATACCAGTTTTTGCCATATATCTCCTTTATGTACGAAACTAAACCCAATAAATTGTGTTACCGGTTTACATACCGATCACATAGCGGTGAAAATCACTTAGATTGGTGTCATATAAAGTATATCTTCCATAACTCTGATTGTTTAGATGCGTTGTTTTATATAAGTATGTAACTCCTCTATCGATGTATGCAGATGTATTCAAAAGCAGTAATCTGTCAAAGTAAAATTTGCAGATGTTCATGAAAGGTATGAAGCCTTCGGCATAGCCGAAGACAGCGCTGCTCTTACTTGTTTTATTATAGTTTCGTTTTCTATACTTTTAGATATCTGTTGCAAAATCTGTGGGGGCTTTCTTACGTACTTTTTTAGCTGTTGTAAGTAATTTTCAAAATCATATCCTGAAAACGTATATAAGGGTCCTAATAGTTTAGCGCTTTCGCTCAGATGACGTAGCCCATGTACATTGTAAG